TTAGGCTTCCTATTCCGAACTACCTGTACACCTCGTTCCACTGCACCATAACCCTGCTGGTGCTATAAGGTGCCCCCAGTGTTAGCAGTTGGTTTTGCACAAGACTAATAGCACTTGTGAGCAGAGTAGAGTAAACAGTGCTGCTTATGGGGCAGAGGCAGAGAAGTGGTCCGACACAGGTCAAACCCTGTTGCACTCCCCATGCTTGTTGTCCTTCCTCGGTTCCATTCTTGGTTACTTTTTCATCCTTCTTCCTCAGCACACGGGAAGGGGAATGGTCACAAGAGACCTATGCTGCTAGAGAAGCACTCGGCACCAATGCCAAGGTATTCAGTTCCAAGTCCAACCAGCTTGGCTCCAACAACAATCTGACTATAGCTTGCATCTGGATGGACCTTAGCCTAGCCTCCCTATCCTTTTTTGCACAAGACTTGAACTGGCAGCAGACCTGGCAACCAATGGTTCCACTAATCTCTTCCATCCATGTGCAGATTTTTTCCATCTATGTGTGGAATACATTTTTATGTGCACTGAGGCATGTGTGAATGTGCATCCCCAAAAAACTAGCTGTGGATACTCTGCTAATCAACTGGGCAGCATCTGAATCTTTCTTGAGCAGTTGCACAAGCTCACCCTTAACAGGGAATATTGTGGCAATTCTCTCACATGTTTACAGATACTTCAGACAGCTAGAGTGTGGGTCACTCACTGGTATGGGTTTGCCACAGCATGCACAGGATTCACAGCCTGGAGATTGGAGAATGCTAGGCCCCAAAGGTGAAGGATGCCTTCTTTACAAATAGATTTATAGCAGCATAAGCTTTCATGGGCAAAGACACACTTCGTCAGATGCATGTAGTGGAAATGCATCTGACGAAGTGGGTCTTTGCCCATGAAAACTTATGCTCCTATAAATCTGTTAGCCTGAATCTCCAAAAGCGACAAGGAGTCCTCTGGCACCTTATAGACTAACACGGCTACCCCTCTGATACAAATGTGAGGGTTCAACTATTTACACAACTGTTAAAAAAATACAAGCAAGTAAACTTGAAAAGAAAGGAGGGAATAACAAGAACAACTGAAGAACATCTTGCTGAAGCAAGAGAAGCTGTTCCAGTGACCATCATAGGCTATAAGAAGGTACTGAGAGGATGTAGGACCAGCTGAGTCCCTTATACGAGCACATGTCCCTATAGGATGCTAGAGATGGCCTGATAGATACCACTAAGGGAAAAATCTCTGGTGACTGTGCACACACCTAAGACGGAATGGACATGAACAAGCACTTGAAGAATCAGGGAGTAAGGATGTTAAATTTAGATTAATTAACTAATCAAATAGTCGATGGGATTTCCACTGACTATTCAATTAGTCTATAAGGACGCCTCTGCCTTTGAACTGTAGCAAGAACCCTATTAGGCTCTTTTGAAGTGTACTGGCCCTGCGCTCCCTGCAGTGCCTCAGCCTTTGAAATGTACAAGAGCCCCAGTGGGGCTTATTCCCTTAGTAGGACAATGTCCAGCTCTTATTGGGGAGCAGCACTTCTGCATGATTTATTTTTGTATCCTGTGGGGCTCTTGTACATTTCAAAAACAGAATCACTGCAGAAGCAGAGACTGCGTCCGTTTCTGCTGGCACCATTTCCCGCTTTGCCTGTAGCTCCCCTGTCCCCTGCAGAGATGGCGCTGGGGGGAACTGGCTTTCTGATAGATGCGGGAAGCGACTAGTCACATTACTAGTTGACTTGTCTCTTACATCCCTATCAGGGTGTTAATGTTTCTCAAAGATGGGACTTATAGCAAAACAACTTAAAGCAGGGACTTTTTTTCCCGCGTCTGACTTCCATTTGTGCAAATTGGGCAGAGGGGGGCTTGCACGAATTAAGAGAGGGAAATGGGAGGACTTGTAATGCATCAGTAACTACAAGTATCAACGACTTTATTGTGGAATGGATATATAACGGGGAAACATAGTGGGGATGCTCTGTAATCAAAATAACATATATTTTTCTTGCCTGGTTCTCAGAAATGAACTATTTTGGCTGTAAAAATCAGCCTAATGGAGAAACTCAGCACATAACATTTCAGCCCAAATGCTTAAAGTTTGGCATAATAATAATAAACCAAAAAGAGAATATTTGTAATAGAGATTGTCAGGCAAACTTCTTGTGTACAGTAATTCAGTGTGTGGGGGGGGGGGGGGGGGACTTTTTAACCTTTGACTGCATATGGAGGCCCATAGGGAAAGCTCATCCCCAATACTTTTATTAAGTAAAAAAAGTGTCACTCTTACCCAGTCACTTTTCTAGTTATAAGCACACTTAGAAATGTTCTAGATTTTATTGTACTAAAAGAGTGGTTTCACTTATGAAAACAAATAAAAACAAACACTATTTATTGTATGTGCAGACATCTTCTGAGTTAATATCAAACTGATTACACAAGTGCATGCCTATTGAGAGTTGTGTATTATGAAGCGTCCCAGTAACTAGGCAGTGGGGACTGAAAATGCAAGGTTATACACTTTGAAGAACTGTACACAATGCTGAAATATTGGATCAACAAATACTTAATGGAAAAATTGTTATATGGATCATTGAGATAATATACTACAGGCAGTCCCCGGGTTACGTACAAGATAGGGACTGTAGGTTTGTTCTTAAGTTGCATCTGTATGTAAGTCGGAACTGGCGTCCAGATTCAGCCGCTGCTGAAACTGACTGCCAGTTCTGACTTACATACAGAATCAACTTAAGAACCCCAGGCGTCCCCAAGTCAGCTGCTGCTGAAACTGATCAGCAGCTGATTCCAGGAAGCCCGGGGCAGAGCAACTCTGCCTCGGGCTTCCTGTAGTCAGCACTGGTCAGTTTCAGCAGAAGCTGACTTGGGGACGCCTGGGGCAGAGCAGCTGGGGTGCTGCTGGGTTGGTCCAGTAGCGCCCAGAGCGGTCCCGCAGTCCGTGTCCTCCGGGGGAGCCCCGTTCGTAACTGCGGATCCGACATAAGTCGGATCCGCGTAAGTCGGGGACTGCCTGTATATCAATGGATTTGATTAATGTACTATATGTTAAAACAGAAATTGCTAAAAGAATGCATACTAGCCATTATAAAATTTTATGTCAGCATTTTAAATTGGCTATTAGAAGGTTGATAAAGATACATCTAGAAAGCATTTCAACCACCTAAAAACATAGCTGATCTTCAAACACTGATATTGGCATTCTCAGTGTATTTCCTGCTTTCTCCTGACAGAGGGGAGCAAATCTCATATTCTGTCTTTACAGCGAATACTCAAGGCGCATGTTGGGGCAAGTACCCTTTGAGCTGAGGAAGAGTGAACAAGATACAAAAATAAATTATGCAAAAGTGCTGCTCCCCAATAAGAGCTGGACATTTTCCTACTAAGGGAATAAGAACACAGGATTTGGAATCAACTCTGTCTCCTAATATGGCAGTGCAGAATTATAAAAAGTACAACAAATAGGTAACCTAAATAAACTAGTTTTTAATTGAAACAAGCCACAAACACCTTATCTCAATATGCAAAATAAATGCCTGAAAAATACCATCTTTAAGGCCACAATTGTTTATTTTGATTTATAAAAGTGAATCACTCCACTTGCCTGGAGCTCAGTGGACCTCCACACAGGTTAACTGTTGTTCCCATAAGAACTACAATGCGAGATAGAGGCTTTAAAGATTTATCAACACCCTAAATATAGTTTATTTGGGAGTAACACTGCAAGTAAAAACTGGGCAACTCAGTTTAAAGAAACTGAAAAATAAAAGAAAGGTGTTAAGAATACATGTTGTTTTAGCTAGATGTGAATTCTTATTATTGAGTCATACACCCTAAAATGGGGATTTACAATGAAATGGTGTTACTACTTTTTTTTTTTTTTTTTTTTAAAGATATCTGTGTTGGTACAGCACATCAATGTCACACAAAATACAAAATACTCTAACAGCTTCTGTTATTCATTCTAGAAAGCACTGTTTCTTTCAGCAGCACAAACCCCTAATCTAGCTTCAAGGATTGCAAGAAACAATTCTTGTGATTCACTCCCCAACCCCCTCCAACAGAAGTGCTGCTTGTTAATCCAGCAGGAAATAACATTTGCCAGGATTGACAGCTGTGAATTTGTATTCAATTCCCAAATTAAAAACCAATGACAGGGCCTAGTTCAATAGAGCTGTCAAGTAAAAATGAAGTAAGTAAAAACCTGCAGCCATTCTCTGTTAATTTGTACATGTATTTTGGATAATGGTAACAGATGCCTTTAACAATGCTACAGTCTGGTAGGGAGATATAATGGCAATAAGGCTGTGAAAACATTTTCTTCTGAAATTATTTAATTCTTGACATTTTAGTTCCAAACAACACTAATATATTCTTCTCTTATTTCTGATGTAATTTATTAAAATATTTTACAATAAAATTAAAAAAAATATTTAAAAAGTTCATAATAATACCAACAATGCATATTTTATATAAGCTTCAATTATGGCCCTGATCCTGAGAAAAGATCCAATGGCATAAACCTTTCAATGCAGGCTCAGAGTGCATGATGTGCAATTTTTAATTAGAATAAAGAAAATCAGAGCTGGAAAAGGTCTACTACAATAGGTCAACTAGCTTATCCTATGAATATAGGATTGTTTCTTACAATAAACTTTCTAGCCCTTCAGTCAATCAATGTTTAAGAGCCCCAAGCAAAGGGGTTTTTCCACTAGTTCTCTTGGGGTTCTCTATTCCCCAGTCTAATAGATCTCTGTAGTCCAATTTTTCTGTTTGAATTTCATCTTATTAATCTCAGTTTATATCCCTTTATATATCCCTAAATAAATCCTTTGCTTTCTCAGTGTTTACACCCTTAAACAATTGTGGATGGCTGTTTCTCTGAGCTCATTGCTTTGATAAGGAAATTCATTTACCCCTAGGCTATTCTAACAATTCTAATCTTTTTTCAAATGACAAAGCATCAGCTTAGCTGCAATTTACCTGTACGAAGTGATTCTCTTCAGATTTGTAATGGGAACATCATAACCACACTCTTCTAAGATTTCCTTGCATGCAATTTCCTCCAAAGAAAGTTCTGGCTTGTCTACTATGCCAGCACAGAGTTCATAAGTCACTCCCACTGTAGCTGGTAAGGGATCCAATAAAGGACACCAACTATCCTGGTCTTTGCTTTGAAAGTCTTGAGGATGGTGCCGCTCCATTTCACACATGTAAACAGCTTAAAGAAAAAGAAAAAAACAGTTGTTCTTGGAAAAGCCAACTTTTACTATGCCATTTCAAGTGGCATAAAAAGACCTTCAAAGTGAATTTCACCATGCAATTTATAAAAATCCAATTAACAGACACAATGCATCACGTATGGTCACATTTTTAAAAAGGTTCAGCTGCTTGCATTTGTGTATGTGTCCAAAAAAACCACATTAACACACAACTTTTGCACACTATCACATTTACTCACAAATAATGGGCTTTGGGTAGATAAATTCTGTGATTTGCCCACCAAAGTGATGGGTCACAATACCCACATAAGTAACTGGAGCATTCGATATTTCACACCTTTTGAAAACCTGTTTTCAACAATATATCATCCAAGTGCTACAAAATGAGGGTATTTGAAACTGTTTAATTGTGAAGCATTTGCTATACAGGCAGTCCCCGGGTTACATGGATCCGACTTACATCGGATCCCTACTTACAAACGGGGTGAGGAAACCCCGCACTAGCTGCTTCCCCCCAGCAGACCAGGGAGACGCGAAGCTAGCGCCCCCCCCAGCAGACCAGGGAGACGTGGAGCGGCTTTTCTCAGCAGACACCTCAGCTTGAGAATAAAGGACTGAGGGAAGTGAGGTGTGGGAGAATAAAACTGAGCTCTGGAGAAATGTTTGGCTAGAGTTTCCCCTACAATATGTACCAGTTCCGACTTACATACAAATTCAACTTAAGAACAAACCTACAGTCCCTATCTTGTACGTAACCCGGGGACTGCCTGTAGATGGGACAATCAATAGTTAATTTTTAATAAAAATGAGGAAAAAATTAAATAGTCCTTTGAACATTTGTTTTTCTTATATTGAGATGGATGTCTCATACATATACCAAAATCAAGTGCAGCTGAATGAACCCACAAATGTACTGTTCAAAAAACTTCCATTTGTTGGCCAACGTATATATCAGAGTTTATTTTAATCTATGCATTTATCTCTGCTGGGAAGTTGCTCTGTACACTGTGTACCATGTGCACAATGATGAATCTTTCAGCCTGTCAACTCAGCTGTTATTTGGACAGGGTTATGAAAAGCATGTATGTTTGTTTGAAAAATCCTCTTTTGAACATATAGTTCCTTGCGCAGATTTTCTTAAATGGAATTTGTGAAGGACCTTTTGCATTAATCTAGAAACAGCTGTCACTGTAATACCCCCCTAAAGGAAAATACTTAGGGCCAGACTCTACAATCTTTAGTCCAAACTATCACTGATCTGAATGGACATTTTTCCCAAGTAAACCCTGCAGGACTGGGTCCTAAAACACAGAGAAGCACTACCAAAAATATTGAAGACCTTCAAACTTTCTTTTACAGATGTAGTTTCATTTATTTCTTCTTTGCAAAGTTTCCTATCTTCATCCCCTTTCTTGTAATAACAAAATCTGATACTAATAGGATACAAATGATATTGAAATGTTATAAGATATTCAACATGAAAACTCTTGCTTTATATAATAATCTATGATATCAAGCATAAAGCCTGCTCTTTTATTTAATAACTAGAAGACTTACCTGGCATTGCATGGGTTCTTCAGGGCAGGAGTCTAATAGTATGGAGGATGCAGGAGTCAGGGTAGAGCCTTGGAGATATGGGGGGCATGGTAGGAGGCATGGGGTGTGTGAGAGTGAGGACTGGCAGGTGAGAAAAGGCTCAGGGTGAGGGGGCACCGGAGGAGCTTTTTCTCCCACCTGGTGGGCAGGGGGCCTTCTTTCTCATCCCAACTCTCCTCTGTTGGCCACCAGGGGCCGCCTTTCTCCTCCTAGTCCTCCTGGCCTCCAGGGGACTTCTGTTTCCCTCCAGTCCCCCTGGCCACCAGAGGCCCTCTTTCTCCCCAGCCACCAGAGACCTTTTTTCTCTCTCTCCTCTCCTGTGCTGCAGCTAAGAGCCAGGAGGAAAGGGAGGGGGAGAGTTTGGGGCAGGAGGGCTACTTACCTGGTCTGGTGGCAGGCAAGATGGCAGAGCCCCAGCTTTGCTGGCCACTCTCAGTATTGTGTCCATCTTCTCTGCACCCCTCCCTTTCGCATTCCTCCTCGCTCTGCCCCCTCCCTTTTCATGTTCTGGAAAACAGTCCCATTCCCAGCACTTCCCATCTCCTTGGCACAATCAAACCCTGACCTTGCTTTAAGTTATGATAAGAGGAACCTGCATACCAAATTTGGTGGTCCTAGCTCTTACCATTTAGATGGAGTTATTGAACAGTCTCACAGAAGGACAGACAGACATTTCTAAAATAGATAGATAGATCTATGATAATTATTATACCTTATTAATGTTTAAAATATATGTGTCACCTAGATTTAAGTAAACTATAAATATGCAAGCTTTTTTTTCTAAGTCTCATTCCATATATTTAAAACTCTGTTACACTGGAGAGTACAAATATAGACAACTTTATTCTGTTAGCAACTGAACTTTGTCCAAAATTTCATTAAGCATTTATATTGTTCCTTTTATTTTGTTATAATGGAATATTCGTCCCAAGATGTAGTCTACTACTCAGGGGACTTGGCTTAAGTTGAGGAGATCTTGAAGATGCATACATTCTTAAGTGGTATAAACTGCTATACCTCCGACTGCTATACCTTGGATAATGGCCAATCTAGCTTCATTTGTTGGATTGTATTGAACAAATACAGGAGAATTTTTAATTCTAGCACCAAATACCTGAGTGTGACTCAGACGGTTAATATAGGAAAATATTCAAAATGTTTCTTTCTCTAATTGGGAAAATGCCATGAGGCCAGATTCTACCAGTCCTAACAAGGCAGATAAATACCTTCAATCTACACAATCACAGCTCTTCCAGGAGAAAGGGCAAGGATGGGGGAGGGGAGGCACAGCAGTACAGATTTGGAGAGGCTCCTGGAATTTAGCAATTCAGGAAGAGAACTAATTTGCTGTTTAAACTTTTGATTTCTTTTTGTTTTCACCAAGGGTTTGGAAGCCCTATAAGGTAAAATGTGCCCAGTGACAAGCCTTGGGTGCTATGTATTTTGAGTCACTGAACTAATCTGCAAATACATACAACAATCCACTGAAATGTTGTTATAATGTAACCATAAAATCTCATGGTGTATATTTAGTGCTTCTCCAGTTACATACTGTTTAACTGTAATTGGAAAGATGTGGTCCACTGATGAGCAAAATGAATGATACCTAAAGTCTATCTCAGTGGGGCACCTGTACTGGACTAGAGTGGAAATCAGTGCAGTATTTGTTTAGATTTTAATTTTATCAGAAAGGTTGTTTGTCTGAGGAGGGGCAAGCACACACACACACACTTCTAGTAGACATTTCTATTGATTTAAACTGTTGCTAATCATTCATTAATTCTCAAATATCCATAGAGGTGCCCTGCCCCTGTCCTCCTGTTGGGATTCTGACAGGAGAGCAAATAGGAGAGAGAATCATCACTTAATTTACGCATTTTTACAGACAGCATGTCAGATTATCCTCAGGCAATGGAAATCTAATCCTAACACAAGTATTCTGGTGAGACTGGGTATGAGCAATTGCTACTCTAAAAAGTTTGACTGCCCATTTGCACAGAAGGCCAGCCATTCTGAGCGCATTCAGTGCCCATTCTGATCTCTGTGAAGATAACATGAAAACAGCAGGCTTTTGGGGACACTAGGCCCTCTAGAGCCAGTAAAATCTGACATTTCCATGGAGGTAGTTTATTGGAGAAATCCACTTGGCCAGAATAATTGCAGGATTCCATTTATTTGGGTTTTCTATATTCCCTTTGCTTATGGACCAACTTAATTTCATATTATCTAGCACTGTGGTGTCCAACACACTAGCCACTAGCTACATGTGGTTATTTGGCCGGTTGAGTGTGGCTAGTTCACTACAGCACCAGCCATTATAGTGGGTACTGCTTCAGAACTCGTTGCACACCATGGATTTAGCAGCTTACTGTGTTTCTCTTGCCATGAAAACTCATCCTCAAAATAATCTATTTTATTACACTATTACATTATTTTATTTTCAAAATAATTACCTTTATTATGTATTAGACCTGATTCAAAGACAGAAGTGTTCAGCTCTATCATGCACAGTTACTGAAAGGCTAATGTGTGCATTGAGCCTTGTGCCCTCTGCACAGAAGTGATTTTCATGCTAAAGTCATTCGAAAAAAAAGCATCATGAAAGATATTTCCAGCCGCCTAAGACTGCCTCAAAGAGAGTATTAGCCATACTAGCACTTTCTATTTGGTTGCAAATAAAAGACATAAGGATTTAAAATAAGCATATAAATGAATCCTATTCCTTACAACAGGCAACAGAGTACTAAATAGAAACATGAAAACATGAGCTACAAGTTACAATATTGTTGCATTACATTGAACTACTTGTCAATCATCATAGGCAAGTGCGAATGGTAAGAGACTGCACCAGAAAGTTACAATGACATCTACGAGAATGGTCTTGAAACAGTCTCTTAGCAACAGAGATAAAAAGAGAGAAAGAGAGAATCTAAGAGATCTCTCTCATTTTTTGGTTAAAACCAACATGCTGAAAATACATCTTATTTATAACCTCTAAAAATAAATAGTCAGAAATTATAATTGATACAAAAATGCTGAAATTAAACAGATTTTTTCTTGAGGTATCTATTGGCCTCTTACAAATACGAGAGCCAATAATCTATCTATTACACTGCAGTATACAATAAAGCAAAATGAATTTGTATACTGTGTATCAATATTCCCCAATTTTGAGGTTTGTTTTAAATTCCCAAGTATATATTACCTCACATTAGTTAAAAAAATTAGTTTAACAATAAGGAACATAAAACAATGATTCAGGGCATAAGCCATCTGCTAACTACTAAAGGTCAAGAAGAAATTTCTCAAAGGGGCAGCTTTTTCTATAATTGCTCACTACAGGGCTATTTGGAACTTCCCCGGAAACCTGGCAACAGCTAAAGTCAAAGATGGGGTAATGGATCATTGACTTGATCTAGTAAGGTAATTCCTATTCTGTGGAATTCTGAATAGAGTGAACTATAGCACAAAAGAATACAATATGGAACAAAGATTTTATCACCACAACTATCCCTACACCCCCAACTATTAACTGCTAAACCCTTAATACTTCACTTCAGAGTAAAAGTAAAACTAAAGAGGATTACCTGGGCGGAACTGCTTCACCACAACAAAGCACTGCCGAGAGGAATTAAATATCAGGATTGAGACACTAAAGAAGAGGAGGGAAAAATAGATCAATGCACTGTGAATAAACCAGTATGTATTAAAGCAGTATTAACCTTACTAGGGATGTGATGGTTTAATCAGTTAACTGATAAGCTTACCGGTTAAGGTTAACCAATGGGGACTGGAGAGACACATAGCCAACAGGGACTGCTCCAGTCATGCTGGAGCAGCCCCTGCCTGTAGTGGGCCTTGGTGCCATGCAGGTAGGGGCAGCTCCAGTGTCCAGGCTGGTCCAGCCTTTGCCTGTGGTGGGGGAAGGAGGAGGCTGCTTTGGCTGGTCTGGAGCAGCCCCAGTCTGCAGTTGGGGTGGGAGGCTCCAGCCCAGTGGCAAGCAAGGGGCTGCTCCAGCCAAGCCAGAGAGCCCCCCCACACATACTTGCCTCCCCTTTAATTGATTAACCAGATTTAACTGGTTAGCCAATTAAATGGGATTTTATATCCCTAAACCTTACATCCAATGAATTTTATTTCTAAACATATAGATATGCACAATGTTCATTAACTTTTCAATGCAACAGGAGACTGATTTAAAATTCATTGATTTCAGTGGGTTTAGTATCAGGCTCCCCAAACACAGGTAACTTTATCCACTATTAAACCACTTTCCAGGAAAAAAAAAAGACTTAAGTATACAGTTAGTAATTATCACAGGAAGAAGAGCTTCCAAATATTAGAGAGCAATATAAGTAGTAAACCTGGAATCCAATCTTCATGAAATCCCCTAGCACTTGCAAGGAGCCCCACCAAATCATGAGCAAAAAACTTTCCATTCTAGTAAGCTTAAATTTTATTTGTAACAACGTCACATTTTTAGACAAAAGTGTGTTTGCTATTTGGGGTCCATTTAAAACTCACAAAAAGCAAATATATACCACTCTCATCACTGTGGTGTCAACACACAGGTGTGGAATGTCTAGGTGCAGAACATATTACTGGAAAGATAATTTATTATTCAATGAATTATACAGTTCCTCTTATTAATGATGGAATATTTGCAGACACCACTAAAGTCTTCAACAATATCTGAAATATATAATGTATTTACATTTTTAGTATTAACTTACTAAGAATTTTTTTATTTTGTAAACAACTACTAGGAATACAAACAACTAAACGACAACCAAGATAAAAATGTTTAGAAAACTTTAGCAGTATTTTAAATTCCATCTAAAATCAAAATGATTATTCAGGGCATTTCTAGACCAAGAGTAAGTTATCTGGATAGAAATCTATTTTAGAATAGACCCTAATGGACTTATTGGGATACTAGGTACTGAAATGGCTGACTCCTGTGCAGAGACATAAGTAGGCAATAATGACTCCTCTCCATCACTGAACTTAATTCCATTTGGATAGATAACATTATTCCAGCAAGTAATGCACACCTCCAAATCATACATAGAAACTTGGATACTGATGGTTCCTGACCCAGATGTCTTTTGCAGGGGAATTTAAACTGAGGGACACAGTCTTTGTGTGCATGACTGGATTTTTTCTGTTTACATATAGAGATTCCCTGGATAGTTGAATATTAGGTTGTTACTAACCAAATATTATGCAAAGACAGAAGGGCTAGATTTAAGTATGAGACTATAAAAGAATTCAGACTGTTGGCATGTAATATATTATTGTGATCTTCCACAGCATTGTTTTTTGATTATTTTCACGTTCAATTAAGAGTGATTTCTTCTTTGTTATTATATTAAACTTCTGTGATGGATTGTACCTCAAAAGAGCATGCGCCCCCTCCCCTCCCCCGTATTCAGCACTGCTATATGATTATGTATATATTACAATATGTTTTGTATCATGTATGTCTTGTCATGGATGTCTTGAAAAGTTAAAATCTGTTGAACATCATTGTTCTGTCAAAAAGACAGATGATACATCATATCATCATATAGTTATGAGATTTTGCTGTTTATTATCAAAACATGTTGTAAATCTGGAAAATGCCTAAAGACTAGCTCTTCAATAGCAACCAAGAAATGACCAACATCTAGCCAGCTCATCATCAGACCTTCACCAGCAGGGGAGACATAAAAAATTCACATTAAAGACAGTTACTTAAGCACCCCCCTTCCCATGACACAGCAAGGATCCTTCCAGCACCTGTAGAAGAATATAAAATAAGGGACAATTACATCACCACTTTACCTCTCCTTCCCCAACCTACACTGAAGGCAACACAATCATTCGGAAGACAAAGAAACATTTTAATTGGGGAGGGGCAGAGGGAGGCAGCACGATCCTAACTGGAAAGGCTTTTCAGTTAGTACGTATTGCTGTAGGGGTTGGGGGGGGGGGGGTAAGAGAAACTTTATTACTTCAAATTTGATTTAGCTTGAGAATTTAGAATATGATTTTTTATTTCTTCTTGTAACCAATTCTGAGCTTTCATGCCTATACCACTTATAACCTATCTTTCTTTAGTTAATACGCTTATTCTAATATTTTGTCGAAGTGCGGTTTTGACTGAAGTTTAGGGACTCTACTTAGTTTACCAAGGTAGATGATGAGTAATGAACTAATGAGCTTGCATTGCTCAAGAAAATGGTGAGCAGTGTAGAATGCACATTTCTGGCATGTAAGGCTGGGGCTAGGGCAGATTTGCTGGTGCCTCCCTGTATACTGTTCCTGACTGGCTGAGGAGAGGATTCATGTACCTCATGTAGCTAGGTGTGGCTTCCCATGCTGATGGCTGAGTGAAGAGCCTGGAGGATTTGCTATACATTAGCATAGTAGTGTAGGAGACAGCCTGGACTGGAGAGTTAAAGGGAGCACAGCAGTTCCATAGTCCAGATTGCACCCTGAAATATGTTACAACTTCCCTTCTTTTATACCGTAGTTTTAAACAGTGCAAGTCACCTGAGAAGTTGAATCAACAATGTAAAATTAGATAGGATAGTGGAGACTCTTGAAGAATAGACTAGTCTCTGAGCACTAGGACTAGCCTCTGAGGTTGTGTACCCTTCATTACACCCTGGGGGTATGTCTACACTACCCTCCTAGTTCGAACTAGGAGGGTAATGTAGGCATACCGCACTTGCAAATGAAGCCCGGGATTTGAATTTCCCGGGCTTCATTTGCATAAGCGGGGAGCCGCCATTTTTAAAACCCCGCTGGTTCGAACCCCGTGCAGCACGGCTACATGGGGCTCGAACTAGGTAGTTTGGACTAGGATTCCTATTCCGAACTACCGGTACACTTCGTGGAACTAGGAGGGTAGTGTAGACATACCCTTAATGAAGATCTAGTCTTTACTTTAGTTGGGCCTCCTTAGAATCTGGAGAGAAAGATAACACATTAAATAACTGGAAACAACTCAGAAGGCACAGCTATTACACATTTTCTTAAGGTTCAATCATCTGAGATATCTATGGAACAGATGGGATTCTTAAAAACAATCTGTCAAAATTAAGGAACAAGATCAAATTAAAATGGAATTGAGTAATACCACATTATTACAATTGTCTGTCTCTCACACCAGCTTGAGACAAAAAGGCACGGAGATACCACAGATTTGTAGTACATTTTGCTTGATTGCTTTTAATTTTCTCAGAGACTGACAAAATTCTGAGTGTAATGTTTATAGCTTTTTAAAAATTACGGAAGATGAAATCTAATGTTTCCTTACACAGCTTGAAATTCACAACCTAGTAGATGAAGATTTAAATCTCTCAATAAGAGTGCAATCTGGTTCAATTTTTTTAAATCCAGCAAACCTCATCCTTGACACCATGAAATATATTTCACAGCTTGTGATGAGGCTTGTATCTTTTTATATGTGAAACTCCATGTCACTAAAATCAGTGGATCAGGTATTTGAAAAATCCACTAAATGGGGGTCAGATCATCCAACTAAATCTGCATGAGTGGATCTCTGAACACATAAAGAGCTCCCACTGAATTCAATGGGACTCCACGTAGGTGCAGAACATGTGTAGATTTAGATGCAGGATCTGGCCTTCTTAGTGTACAAAAACATCCTTATTTTCATGAATTTCAAATCAGTTAAGCATACGTAGATTATTTATTTTAAACAATTACTCTGAAGATTTTTTTTGGATGGATTTTATATGCTGTGAAATGGGCCCCAGGTGTTATAAAGGCAGAATTTTAATGGTCTTTGATTGGCCAAATAATGTAATACATTTATACAAATGTTTGATTTTTTCCCTAGCTTTCTTAAAATATCATTCCAATCCCTTGGACTCCCACCCACTGCTATACCTCTCAGCCCCATCAGTCCCAATCTCCTGGTCCCCTGTCTCTCCACCTCAATCCTCTGCTCCCTCCGGCTCCACCTGCCACCCTACATTTCCAGCAGGCTACTCCACCTCCCGGCCCATAGCTCCAGCTGGCTGTGCCACTCAGTATGTCTGCTCCCACACCAGCCTCCCTAATGTCCTTCTGTTCCCTACCCCAGCTCCTGAGCACAACCCCGCCCCATAGGATGGGGAGTGCAGGTGCTTGGGTTGCATAGGCACCAAAAATCCTAAGGACAGACCTGCTGCCAGCTGAGCCGAGGCTACTCCACCTCCCGGCCCATAGCTCCAGCTGGCTGTGCCACTCAGTATGTCTGCTCCCACACCAGCCTCCCTAATGTCCTTCTGTTCCCTACCCCAGCTCCTGAGCACAACCCCGCCCCATAGGATGGGGAGTGCAGGTGCTTGGGTTGCATAGGCACCAAAAATCCTAAGGACAGACCTGCTGCCAGCTGAGCCGGA